TCTCTTAAAGTAACAGTCATCCCCTTTATGGTTTGTTTTTTCCTCTCTCAAAGGGCTGAGCCCCATCAAACCTCTTAAAATTTATCAAGCTCACTTTTTCAGTAGCTCTTATTTCCAAATCTCTGTTTATATTGAAATAATATACTCAGGTTCCTTATTCTTATTTAATGAAAAATGTTTTAGGTTGCACTACTCTTTCTTCAAGAAGACTCCAGGAGGTGGTTCCAGTATTCCGTTTCACGGTATCAGGTAAATAAGGTTAAAACATATTACGTTTCTCCTGAGGCCTCATTTCAGCCTCCACGGCCTTTTTTACAATACCCTCCTACCTCCCAAAGTGAGCTCAAAACTTTAAACACACCAGGTTAAAGATGCCTCACTCTCCATGTTACTATTATATTAAGTGTTTATTCTGTTTTAATTTCTACATTTCATTACTTAGACCTGCACCATTGCGCAGATTCACTACGCCTTCAACGACCATCAGGCTACCTGGTTCCCGACGTTTCAGTAGTAGGTATCCTTAAATCTTACTCCCTTCAATTACGTCCTTCTAAGGCCTCACTTCACCTTTATATCTGTCACAAAATACTGCTCAGTTGTGGGATCCCAGGGGCTTGTCTCAAAAATTTGGACCAACGTTCAGGTCCCTCTGACTACACAGGTGTTTATGATACATGTAGCGGAGATGCAATATTCCCCAGGTTATCTCCGCTTATAATCCATGTGAGGCTCAGGAACAAGTAAATTGTAAATCCACAGGCAAGGTTTCCAGCAGGTAAAATAACAGCAATCCCAATAACTGGACGACACACAGTTTCAGGAGCAGAACTGAAAGCTTTATTCCACACTGGCCTTTTAAAGCATGCTCCCATGCAAGGGAGGGATTTACAGTCATTAGTACAGTAGCCAATCCTGTCCTGGTAACCTCCCACACATCTCCTCCCCTCAGCCTGCATCATAATCCCCCCTTTTCTGGATGTACCCCTAAACATAGGGGTACCCCCTTAAATCATACATCCCCTGGTAGCCCTGATCTGGGTGAACAACATATCCAAAAATCACCCAGATCAGACCAGGGGTTCGGGAAATTTATGGAGGGAATAAAATGACCGACCGCACTGAGTGAAACAGCCGAATGCGGTTCCATGTGAATGGGCCCTGCGGTCGGTCCTGGAGTCAGGGAATGAATAGCACGAAAACCTCTAGCTATAGAGGCTAGGGAGGGTTCGCCTGAATCCCCTCGTTCGGTTCTTTCTATCTACCGAACGAGGGGCCGTTCGGTAGTTAGGAACCGAACGGACCGGGCTTGTGGAGGTTTCAGCGGTGTTCGCCTAGTCGAGTGTCCGATTTGAGTTCCAGACACTCAACGGCAAAACACCGCTGTTCGGGAGTTTTAAAATGGCCGCCGCCACGTGTTCGTTTGTCGAATGGCGGCCACCCCCGAGAACAAAGGACGGCTACTTAACTTGTCAATTACCCGTTCGCAACAGTGTTGCAACGGGTAATTGAAGACACACTTCACACAGGGGAGGTCTGATTGTTCGGTAGTTTCATTCTCTTAGTTTATTCGAATGATTCTACCGAACAATCAGAGGAATACATTTCTTTTAAACACATATAAAACCAGCAGTTTACACGAATGCAACTATTCACATGACATTTGCAGGACAGCCCAGTGTCATCCGCTACACTGCTCCCCCTTGCACACAAGCCGGCATACACAGTCTGATCCAACACGGATCGGCTTGGGGATGTCCGGGGACTCACGAATCATTTTTCCAGGTCAGTTTGTCTCGACAACCCGTCAGCATTTCCATTCTGTTTACCCAGGCGGTACTGAATATTAAAGTCAAAAGGCTGCAGCGCCAAACTCCAGCGCAGCAGCCTGGCATTGTCCACAGCCACCCGGTTTAGCCACACCAACGGGTTGTGATCCGTGAGTAATGAAAAGGGCTGTCCATATAGATACGGCTGCAGTTTCTTTAAGGCCCACACCACAGCCAGGCATTCCTTCTAGATGGCGGCGTAGCTTACTTCTCGGGGTAACAGCTTGCGACTGATGTAAGCCACTGGGTGTTCTCCGCCATCGGCCCCGACTTGGCTCAGTACTGCTCCCAATCCAAAAATAGAAGCGTCTGTGTGAACAAGAAAACGTTTAGTTGGATTGGGAGCTGCCAAGACAGGGGCATTTATCAGTGCATTTTTCAGATGTTGGAATGACTGCTCACACTCCGGGGTCCAGGCAGTGCCGGCACTACCTGTAAGGCGACCTAGGCGGCCGCCTAGGGCGCGACTTAGCAGGGGGCGCCGGCCCTGCTACTGCACCCCGGAGTTGGCAAGCGCTGCTGCCTCCAAATAAGACCTCAGGCTCAGACCGGCGCCGGTGGATGGCGGCGCCGCTGCCAGCAATTGATGCTCTGGCAAAACATGGGCGGGCGGATGCGAGGGAGGGAGGGATGAAGAGAGGGCGGGTGGCCGGTGCGGCACTCCTCTTCATGCTGTGCCGCCTGAGCGCTACAGAAAGCCTCAGACGGCACAGCACAGCACAGTCCTGGAGGGCGGCCGGCCGCAGAGAGACACGACCGCCCATGAGACCACCCACGGGCCACGGCCCACCCCACGAGACCACCCATCATGCAACAGTGAAAGTGGGTGGTCTCTCGGGCCCGGGGTCAGGACAGGTCACACAGCAGAGCCTCTACCGACCCCATCCATGATCCTCCATTGAGCACGCTTGAGGGGGGATTTTAAAGTGGTAAGGCGCCCACTTGAAGTCCTCCTGTAGTTGGTTCCTGCTTCCCCAGCCTCCAGAGCCTGTATTTGACCAGGAGCCAGACTGCAGCCAGAGATCATCCTTATCTGTGGTAAGTAGGAAATCCAATATTTTTATTCTTTTGTAATATTTATTACATAACTGATTTTACTTCACATTAAAAGGACACTATAGTTCCAGAACCACTACAGTTTAATGTAGTGGTTCTGGTGTCTATAGCCTGTCGCTGCAGGCTTTTAAAAGGTAAACACTGTCTATCTTTTCAGAGTAAAGACACTGTGTGCAGTACTGGTGTTAAAGGATCACTATAGTGTCAGGAAAACAAAGCAGTTTTCCTGACACTATAGTGCCCTGAGGATGCCCCCACCCTCAGGGTCCCCCTCCCGTGGCGCTGAAAGGGGTTAAAACCCCTTCAGCAGCTTACCTTATTCCAGTGCCTCCCCTCCCCCTCAAGTGCCGCACGCGCATTCAAATTGTCCATAGGAATGCTTTCCTATGGACGCTCTACAGCGTTGCAGATGCGCCTCTATTAAGGTTGTCTGGAAGATTTAACCGCAAATGTAATCATTGAGATGAAGTAGACTGGGTGACTATAGTGTCCCTTTAAGCGTCTCCACGCCCTGCATGGAGGAGCTTAAAGGGACACTCCAGGCACCCAGACCACTTGTGCCAACTTCCACTACCCTTGACCCTGCAAGTGTAATTGCAGTTTTCATAAACTGCAATAGTTACCTTGCAGGGTTAAGTCCTCCTCTAGTGTTAGACAGCCGCTAGAGGGACTTCCATGTTCTTATAACACTAAAAGTGTGTTTTACGACTCTGTGAGGGCCTCCAGCGTTGCCGAAATCCCTATGGGGAGGTCTAATGCGTGTGCGTGGCCATTGCCGTTCATGCGCATTAGGTCTCCCCCACTGGCTGACGTTGGCGAGGGAGGAGAGTAGGCAGAGTCTGCCCCTCGGCGCTGGACTCCGGTCAGCAACTTGGGGTGGGAGGGAGAGGGGTACTACAGGGTCCTGCAGTGCCAGGAAAACTAATATGTTTTCCTGGCACTGGAGAGTCCCTTTAACGTTCCCATATAGATGCATTGATTCATTGCATCTGTATGAGGAGATGCTTTTTGGTGCAGTGTTTTGCTGCACAGGCACAATAGCCTCCCAATGCAAAGGTTAATGATCTGTGTGGGGGAAAAACGTAATATCGCTTTATGACCACACACAGGGGTTGGGGGGGGGGAGAGGGGGTGCTCTAATGTAACAGGATACAGGTGTATAGTGTTCCTGACGATATAGTGTTCCTTTAAGCTGCTCTCCATCTCCACTACATCAACCGTGCCCACTCTTGCGTAATGCAGAGATCTTCTGGCTTTTGGCTGATGTAGTGAAGGTAGGGCCATGTAAGGTAAGAAGTCAAACTGCTCTAATACGGTTTGACTACTTACATGGGGGGCGATGTCATGTCAGACCACTATGCTATGTAGTGGTAATGGTTCATAAAAAATGAACTATGTTTTATTAGGTTCATTTCTAAAAGTGTGAATTTTTGGGAATCAAAGTGAATGTCACAGTAGCCAAATGGTGGGGTGGGGAACTGTAACATAGTGATGGATATCGCCATATGGTGTAACTGAATCCCAATTTTTTTTTTTTGCTAGTAGTGGTGATTTTAAGTAGCTTCATAAAATTTAAAACTGGATTTATTTTGTGCACTGTTCCCTAATCTGTATTTTGAGGATGAAACATGGTCACTTCAGTAGCGTGCCAACAAGGGGCGATAGCAGTAGTTCAGAGGGGGTACACACAGTAACTACCCATTTCATTTTGTTGCATGGACCCAGATAGAAGATTGAATTACTTTGTAATGTGACTGACCATGTATGACTGTAGGTGAATGTTTGTGACTGTGTGTAATTGTGTAATTATGTAATTATGTAATTATGTAATTATGTTGTGACGCTGTATGATTGTGTGTCTGTGCATGGGGGGTGCTAGCTCTCACTTGCCCTCTCCATTTTTAATTCTTCATGTTTACATCAACTGCTCTCATACATACACATATATTTTTGCGTCTTTCACACTCCCACACGTGCGCACATATGTACAGTGGGTTTCTAAATGATTTTCAGGTATTATTGTGGTTTAATGATCATCAAAGAGAATATTAATTGAATATTAATAATTTTTGATGTACATTTATTCTACAATAGTTTTTTTTATAATTGAACAAGATGTCTGCACCACAAAAGAAATTGTCTGGTGCTGCTTTTCGAAAGAAAAGAAGGCTCCAAGAAGAAGACACTTCTAAGATGGCTGGATCATTAAATAGGTTCTTTAAACCTGATCCAGTACTGAAAGCTGTAAGTGAGACTAAAGAGAATCGTGAAGCTGTAGATGTCGAACCACACCCTTCTACTTCAACTACTACTGTGGGCGAACATTCTTTGGGCATAGAAAGTGATACAAACACCGAGGAAGAAAGTTCACCGAAATCATCATCATCATCATCAGAAGATGAAAATGCAAAAAGCACGCTGGCAGACCTCTTTGATCCAGCTGACTGGCCTGAAATGCTTACTAGCTCACTAAAAGAAACCATCGTTCTGAAAGGTCCGGCAAAGCCAAAAGAGCACTTTGCATTTCCTAAAGATGCATCCAAGAGACGGTTTACATCAACCCACTATAGACGGCGCCTTGGAAATGGTGAAGTGCATGTTAGAAAGTGGCTTAGTTATTCTCCTAGACTGGATAAAATATTTTGCTTTTGTTGTAAACTCTTTACAACTACGAAAATTAGCCTGACTACGGGAGGCTACAATGATTGGAAAAATTTGTCCCAGTGTCTGGCTACACATGAAGTGTCTCCATCTCACCTCACTGCTAAGGGAAACTGGACAGAACTGTTAACAAGGCTTGGGTCTGGAAGTACTATTGACCATTCATACCAAAGATTATTGGCAACTGAAACGCAGCACTGGCAGAATGTTCTTCAGCGGCTGGTAGCCATTGTTCAATATCTTGGGAAGCAGTGCTTGGCCTTCAGGGGCAGCAGTGACACGCTGTACTCTGAAAATAATGGAAATTACTTGAAACTTGTCGAAATGATGGCAACATTTGATAGTGTGATGCAAAGCCACTTGAAAAAGATACAGAATTCAGAAATTCATCAGCATTATTTAGGAAAAACATCCAAAATGAACTAATTGGTTTAATTTCAAAAGAAATACGGAGACGCATTCTACGGTTGCTTAAGGATGCCAAGTACCATTCCATTATACTTGACTGCACCCCTGACATCACTCTTGTTGAACAGATGACTATGGTTTTCAGGTTTGTATCTGTTAAGCAAGGAGACTCGCCAACTGCAAATCCTGAAATACACATTGAGGAAAGATTTCTTGGTTTCCTGCCAGTTCACAACTCATCTGGAGAAGGATTAACAGAGGCAATTTTGAATGAGCTTGAAATGAAAAGATACCACTCAGTGATATGAGAGGTCAAGGGTATGATAATGGCTCCAACATGAAGGGAAAGCACTCAGGAGTACAAAAAAGAACCATGGACCTGAACTCACGTGCTTTCTATGTCCCCTGCAGTGCTCATTCATTAAATCTTGTAGTAAATGATGCTGCTATGTGCTGTAGAGATGCCAGTACATTTTTTGGCATTCTTCAGAAAATATGTTTTTTTATCAGGTTCAACAAATCGATGGGATGTTCTAAAAAAGCATGTGAGTAAGCTGACAGTTAAGCCGCTATCCGATACTAGATGGTCAAGCAGAATTGATGCTATTCGGCCATTTAGGTTCCATGTTGGAGAAGTGTATGACACCTTAATTGAAATCGGAGGTGATATGAATTTTGCTGCTCTTGCAAGAATCGAGGCTTCATTCTTGGCAAAAGAGTTAAACAAGTTTAAATTCTTGTGTTTAATCATCCTTTGGTTTAACATACTAAGTCGAATTAATTCTGTCAGCAAAGTTCTTCAAAGCCAGTCCATTTACTTACCAGATGTTGTGGAACTTTTGGAATCAATCAAGACAATTTTTCAATCTTATCGGACAGATGATGGTTTTGAGGATTTACTTAAAGAAGCAGGAGAGCTAGCAGTGGAAATGGAAATAGACCCAGTGTTCCCCCCTCAAGTACATCAGACGAGGAAAAAAAAGGTTGTTTTTGTATGAGGTTCCAGATGACCCTATCTTAGAACCTAAAAATAAATTTAAAGTGGAATGTTTCTTCACAATATTAGACACAACAATAAAATCTGTACATGAAAGATATGAACAGCTTAAATTTCATTCCACGCATTTTCAATTTTTGTATGACATCCACAAGCTAAAAGATGTGCAAAAAGAAGACCTCCTGCAGTTCTGCATGGAATTGCAGAATGTCTTAACCGATGTAAAATCAAAGGAGTCTGATGTAGATGGAAGGCAACTGTGTGAAGAACTTGCTGTATTGGCTCCTGTTATAAAACCTACGATGACACCTGTTGATATTTTGGCCTACGCAGTGAGGAATGGATTTGCTCCAAATGTGGCAATTGCACTTCAAATTATGTTGACCTTACCAATCACTGTTGCCACAGGTGAGCGAAGCTTTTCGAAACTGAAAATTATAAAAAATTATCTTCGTTCTTCAATGTCCCAAGAACGGCTTGTGGGACTTTCCATGATAGCAATAGAGAATCGGACGGCACAGGAGATTGACTTTGAAACATTACTGAAGGACTTTGCGAATGCCAAAGCAAGAAAAGTTAAATTTAATTAGATAGAATAACTGTTAGAAAGTATTTAAGCTGTTTACAAAGTTGTTTAGCACTTAAATTGTATGCTGCATTTATGTATTTATTTTGCTATGTGTTTGGGGTTCTTTGACCATACCATTTCTATTGTTGCACTTATATTATGCAAGTATGCCACTATAATATAAATGTGGCCATGTGTTTTTCTCTTAACAACTGTATGTTGTATTGCACTTTCAGAATGTTAATGTATTAAACTATTTAAATTTGCACTTTATTTTACATTGTTGCCTTTTGTGCAATTTGTCAGTGTCTTGAACCAAAAGGTAGGTGTGGGGAGGTGGGGGGGGGCCGTCAATTTTTATTTTGCCTAGGGCGGCATAAATCCTTGCACCGGCCCTGGGTCCAGGTCACCTGGCGGGGCAGATTCTTCCGGGTAAGGTCAGTGAGGGGCTTGGCTAGGGCACTATAGTTAGGGACAAATTTTCTGTAATACCCAGCGGTCCCTAGAAATGCTAAAACCTGGGTTTTAGTCCTAGGGGTGGGCCACTGGGCCACGGCCTCTACTTTGGCTGGTTCGGGCTTCTGTTTGCCGCACCCCACTCTATGTCCGAGGTACTGCACCTCGGCCATCCCTATGCTGCACTTGGCCGGTTTCAATGTCAAACCAGCTTCCCTAATCCTGTCTAGTACTGCTCCTATAAGGGGCAAAGTGCTCCTGCCACGTATTACTAAAAATGGCAATATCGTCCAGGTAGGCACAGGTGTAGTCTTGGAACCCATCCAGGAGTCGGTCCACCATCCTCTGGAAAGTAGCTGGGGTGTTTTTCATCCCAAATGGCATGACCTTAAACTGGTACAAGCCAAATGGGGTGACAAAGGCCGACTTAGGGATGGCATCTGGGGCCAGGGGGATTTGCCAATACCCCTTACATAAGTCAATAGTAGTGAGGTATTGGCCCCTGGCCATCCTGTCCAGTAGCTCATCTATCCGTGGCATAGGGTATGCATCGGACACGGTTTTCTCGTTTAATCTCCTGTAGTCTACGCAGAAGCGAGTCGTACCGTCCCGCTTCGGTACGAGCACTACAGGAGAAGCCCAGGGACTATCTGAGGGCTCAATCACCCCCAGTTGGAGCATCTCATCGATCTCCTTGCGCATGTTTTCCCTCACCGCTTCCAGGATGCGGTAGAGGGTCTGGCGCATGGGTAGTTGCCCTGGGGTCTCTACCCGGTGAGTGGCCAGAGGGGTGTACCCAGGTACATTAGAGAACGTGTCTCATTTCTCCTCCAACAGCCGCTGTACCTCGATACGCTCCTGTGGGCTCAGCCGGTCTCCCAGTGCAACCTCCCCTAAATCCCCAGACAGCTGCCCATCTCCCAGCAGATCTGGGAGTGGTAAGCTGTCAAACTCGTCAGAGTTGGGCGCACATAAGGCGGTTACCTCCTCGGAGCGCTCCTGGTAGGGCTTCATCATGTTCACATGGAGCATGCGTCGCCCTCCCGTCCCTGTGCAGGGGCCGATTATATAGGTGGTGTCACATCTCTGTTCCACCACCCTATAAGGTCCCTGCCAGGCGGCCTGTAGCTTGTCATGTCGGACAGGTTTTAAAATGAGCACTTTCTGCCCGACCTGAAAGCTACAGTCCCTGACTCCCCGATCATACTACATGTGCTGGCGTGTCTGCGCCGCCTGAAGGTTTTCCCTTACCGTCCTAGTCAATGCTTCCAGGCGGTCTCGGAAGGCCAACACATATGGTATGATGGGAGTGCCATCTGCGCTCCGGTCTCCCTCCCAATGCTCTCTTATAAGATCTAATGGACCTCTGACTCTCCTCCCAAATAGCAGTTCAAACCCTGTGGATTCCTGCGGCACCTCCCGGTAAGCGAACAGGAGATGCGGCAGGAATCGCTCCCAGTCCTTGTGGGTCTCTGCGAAGGTTCGGAGCATTTGTTTCAATGTACCATTGAACCGTTCGCAGAGCCCATTAGTCTGGGGGTGGTAAGGGGCACTGATAATAGGCTTAATTCCACAGATCCTCCAGAGGTGTTGGGTGAATTCTGCGGTAAATTGGGTACCCTGATCCGAGATAATCTCCCTGGGTAATCCCATCTGGGAGAATATCTGCATGAGGGCATCCGCGACCGTTTCAGCGTGGATGTTGGTCAGAGCCACTGCCTCTGGATATCTAGTGGCATAATCTACTACCGTTAAAATGTACCTTTTGCCTGACGGGCTAGCTTTCTTGAGGGGGCCTATCAAATCTACCGCTTTTCGGCTAAAAGGTTCCTCAATTATGGGAAGGGGGTGTAGTTTCGCCTTCCTCCGGTCTCCCCTTTTCCCTACCCTTTGGCAGGTATCGCAAGTGGTGCAATAACTGCGTACCTCCTGGCTGATCCCTGGCCAGAAGAAACTTTGGGTCAGTCGGTACCTAGTGTGACTGACCCCTAGATGTCCGGATAGTGGAATATCATGCGCTATCCGGAGTAGCTCTGCTCGGTACCGCTGCGGCACCACTAGCAGCCTCATCACTATTGGGTCTGACCCAGCAATCTGCTTGTCTGTCTCTCTGTACAAAAGCTGCTTGTCCCTATATACTTGCAGCATAGGGTCGGTTACTACTTCGGCTGCAAATTCATTGGGTGGGGCCCAGGGAACACATTCTAAGGAAGGGGAAGGGTCTCTTACCTGAACCTCTGGGAGTGTGTTGTAGTCCTGGGTGCGGGCCTGTTGTCGAGTGACCACAGGGTGAGCTTCTCCTGTGGTGGGTGTCTGGGGCTCAAAAGCAGACGTGAGCCTCCCCAGATCGTTCCCCAATAAAACCTCTGCCGGTAACTGCGGCATCAACCCCACCTCCACATGTCCTGACCCTGCTCCCCAATGCAAATGTACCCTTGCTGTAGGTAGCCGGTACACTGCTCCCCCGGCTACCCTGACGGCCACAGTCTTACTTAGTTTAGCCTGATCCGAAACCAGGTGACTCTTTACCAGGGTGATAGTAGCCCCTGAGTCGCGTAGTCCTTGGACCGCTTTACCCTCCAGGTATACGGTCTGCCTGTGATGCTGTCGGTTATCAGCATTGGCCTGGACTGGATCCGCCTCGTGCAGTACTTCCCACTGTTCCACGGTTGTAATGGGAACGGCTGAACCATATGGTGTGGCCACTATATCCTGGTAGTGGTGGGCTGCGGCTGCTCTTGGTGGTGGTGGCGGGCCAGGTCGGATCCAGGTGGAACGATCCCGCAGCTGGGGACATTCCCTTTTATAATGTCCCCATTTCTGGCAGTGATGACAGGGGCCAGAAGTGGGCTGGCGGAAACGTGGCTGTGCAGCGGGCAGTGGTGGCAGTGGTCTCGGTGGAGCTGGGGTGTAGCTGGTTCCCCCAAAGGTTTTAAAGGTGGCTTTTGGAGCTGCAGGTTTTTGCTGCCTGCGTGCATCCAGGTACTCATCTGCCTT